GGTGAACAATTATGTGTCCAGTGCACTTTGCTTTGGAACAGCCCGTCTCCTAGTGAGTTTTCTTTAAGTGTAGTGCGTAACCGCTGAAGTCTTTTTCCCTTTACAGGTATCTGGGATGTTCTGTCTAATCAAGAAGTAATCGATTTTGTAAGAATTAGGATAGCTCAAAAAATGGAACCTGAACAGGTGTGTTAAGTGATTATCCTCTGAGTGTTCACATTTATGGACCAGGCCTGTGAAGAACCAAAGCAATCTAAGATCACTTTTGATACTTTTTCCGTGAAATTTAACCTGGCCCGTTCTCGTTGTTAGATTTGCGAAGAGCTTCTAACGAGATGCCTTGCCCCGGACTGTCAGATGGGAGGATTAGGCTGCGACAACATGACAGTGATTATCGTTTGTTTATTACAAGGAGGAACATACGAAGACCTCTGCCAAAAATGTTCAAGACCGAGTGACTCTAGTTCTGCTTACAATGGCAACTCGGCACCGTTTTACTCTTGACATTAATATCAGCCTGGTTTCACCATTTCCGTTGGCGACACGAGCAAGTCTGCGGTGGAGGATCAAGGGATGATGTATAGAAGTTACAAATGCGTTGACGAGGTTAAGATTAAAACTGTGACAAGTATTAGAGTTGGACTGCGCCAAAGCACAAACGGAAAGAGCGAAATGTCAAACGAGTTGTGTGCTCTTCTGAGAATGCAGCAGAGTGAATGTGCAATGATGGAGTTTAAACCCTTGCATGTTTTTTTTTGTTCTTCCTTTTTCTTTTTTTTCTAATTCTATTTTTAAGGGGGCCAATTTGCCAAAGTGAATAATGGCTTATCGTAGAAAACTTGACCCTTATTGAAGGTCTGTTGGTTGTGGATTCGGTTGTGTTGTAAGTCTGACTGTTGATCAAGTGGCGTAAAAGAGCCAATCGTATTTTGAAGAAATGGAATCACCAGCATTTTTTGTTCCAGTGGACAACACAAAGTCGCGTTCACCTTGTAACTAACTAAAGGGTTCACACAATGAAGGATCGCGTGTCAGCGAACAGACACTTTTTTCCTGAAGCAATGCGAACATTCCCTGGATAATCGACGGCCTGAGTGTCAAACTGCACATGCAAAGTTGACCGCTGAAAATCGAGCATTAACGTATCTGCGCTGGTATTTAATTAACGTGCGGTGATGAGCGAGACAGGGTCATCCGAGTTCATCCCAGTAGTATTTAGGTGATAGTTCTTTGGTTCGAATAGGGAAGAAATATTTGAAGAGTTGAAATATTTTTGTGTTGAATTTCTCGGGTGCCACAGGTTAAAAATTCGTGGCATTATTCAATAGATTCAAGATCTGAGTCTTGTTCAGGAAATATTTGCGAAACGTTGACTTACTGGCGTCGTAGTTATCTCGGAGAACTTTCGTTACCCCGTTGAACTACAGATTGATATGTCTATGCATCCAATAGAGCTCGGAATAAAAGTCGGAGCGCTTCGTGGCGCTATCGAGTCTTGACGCGAAGCACTGGGCCGGAATAGTATTACAGATAACGCGTCGTGTCGTGAATTACGACTAACATTCATTAGTGATTTAAGGATGTGATTTTTATATGCGCGCTATTTTGACTGGACTTGGTTTTCAGTAGCGGTTATTTAAATGATAGGACTGGGGTGTTGACAAACTTCGCTTTTTTAAACGGAAAAGTAGTTGTTTTTTTTGTTTTAGTGTGGCAGTTGAAAGTTTTTGTAAAGTATTGAAGTTCTCTTTCACGGTATTTGAGGTGTGGCAAAACATTTCTAATTGAGCAAGTTTTGCGTGACCTCGAGTCGGTGAGTGCGTGATAGACTATTGCAAATTTGTTGGACTTGTATGGTGATGCAAGCTGGATGTAAATAAGTGTTAAATCAGTTTTACTACAGAAACATTTTTTATGATTCTTGTATGTTTATTCCAGGCTAAGACTCAACTACCAATCAGTGCTATCGTTGACGATTCGCCACGACTACATTTCCCCTTAATCCCTGTACATACCGTATTTATTCGACTAAGCGCCCAACCTTGAATAAGCGCCGACCCTACGGGTAGAAGTTAATTAGCGCCCGCAACTCCTCTCCCTTCAAAAAAAAAAAAGACAAACAAACAAAAAAGCTGAACACCACAAGAGGAGTATCAAGATACATTATGCGGTAATTACCGAGATGCTTCCCCTCTGATTGGTCGAGGATTGCGTCATATTTAATAATTATTCGCCGACGGCGAAGTGAATATTATAGAATGATCCCCGAGACGAAGTCGAGGGGTCTATATCTAACAATATTCACTTCGCCTTAGGCGAACAGTTGTGAATCATTGAATTTTTTTTTTTCTTTAGTGGCTCACAAACGCTGTTTATGGCACATCTTCGCGTTCTGTTATCACTTACTGTTTTGCATTAAATAAAACGTACTACTTGCAGAAAATTGTGAAAATTGAATAAGAACCCAGCCTAACAAACAAGTGCCCACTCTTAAGGTCCATCGATTCAATAACCGCACAGAGCACTTGATCGAATAAATACGGTAACAGCTACTAGAAAGTGAAACGCGTACGGGAAGCAACAGGAATCGTTTTATCTTTTAGCTAAGGTTTATGAGGCCTTCATTGAAAACTAATTCAATCATAAAACAATCACATGTTGATTATTGCAAGGCGCCCATTGCAATTCAATCCTAGTTTCCTTTGAGACCTGTTTCTTTTTTTGTGGGGTGGGGGGGGGACCTATTTATCGCCCGGGAAAGGGGGAAGGGTGAGTGGAGGATTTTGAGAGGGACAACAGGAGAACAAAGTGGGGATCAGTTGTCGCCAACAGAGTAGAAGGGGGGGGGGGACTGTACAGAATTAAATGCCAACTAACTACCGGTGAGGGACCATAGGGAAATTGAAAAGCCCTATCTCCTCCAAATCTCCCCTACCCTCCCCCCTTGGCATCCATTAATACCGGTCCCTCAAAAACTCACTGACCTGGATAGCATCAAAATTATATACATGACGTTATTTTTCTTCCTTGTGAAAATGACTGATGCCATCAAAATACAACCTTTGTATTACGTTAAGTCTTGCAATTGCCGTGTCTTAACCAGGTAAGCAAAATCTCAGAAAAGGAATATTTCATAAACATAAACATACACGATCAACAGATGCCGACTGGTAAATTTTTCCGACTTTCCGGTGCAGACACAACATTAGAGGGCGCCAAAGTCGCGCCTGCCTTTTACGTTATTTGTTTTGACGGCGACCAGCAAAGACTAATGTTAAGCTCAGCTGATGTGGAATTTTCTGGCAGAAGAAATAACATTACAAGAAATTGTTCATTGCATTTATGCCAGTTGCTAATAATAACACTGTAGAAGTTGTAAATGAAAGGCTCGTCAACAATATAAGAGCCTACAAAATTATTACTTTAGAACCAAAATTCTACGAAAGAAATTGGCGTAAAAATTTTAGTTGACCCCACGTATTACTCAATTCAAAATAACTCCTACTTACAACTTGTAAATAACTGTTATTTGCAACAAATGCACGAATTATTTTTTAGAGTTGACAACAAAATCAATTTTCCCGTTCTAGTATTTTCAAATTGTTGCTCTGAATGAAAAAAATGAAGAAAGCGTAGTGCTCGCCTAAAACCGTTGTGGTCTGGGTACGAATAATTCGAAATTTGGGTTTCGTCTTTGATTCGAAAGTTTTCATTACGTCTTCGGGTTTTCAGAAGAACCGAACTGTGTATGTGCCTTCTATTTAATTTATTTACTGAAATCAACCAAGAGAGAATGATGAAAGAAAAAACGGTGCTTTCAATCTTACCAGTAACAAAAATGCTAAAAGCATTAAGGTTCTTATCAGTTTTACTTTGCGCTTTACCACCACAGAGGTCATTAAAGGACTCAGTTGTTGTACACTTACGGCTGCCTGCCTCGAAACTAACGAATCTTTGCTCATCGATGGAGCTTTCCGATCCACAATGACGAGAATAGCAATTGGATAAAAGCAAAGCAAAGGTAAGACAGAATTAATGACTAATTTTAAATACCTCAGGAGTCATCCTGTTCCACTCTACTCGACTAAACTTAATCATAAATGGTCTGATTCAGTTTAGGAAAAAAACTACATCAGAGTCGAACAGTCCACAAGAACTCACCAGTAAACATCACGGTGACAATTCTCGAAGATCTGTTGCTGAGCTGGGCAAAAATTCCTGTCGTTGTTAAGAAATTCCTAGACGGTACCGCCCAAGTCATCTCGCGTTTTCTTTCATCACAAGCAAACAAACATCGCCATCGAGAGACATTCCGAGAATTCCCGACACACCCACGACTGAAATCGATCACCCGAGCATAAACACGATAAACATCGATTCACTTCGGCTTGATTCACTTTGTTCCACAAAAAGAATGCCTATCTTTTGATACTGAGTATCAATTACTATCCAGAAATAGAAAGGTCTTGATCTTTCAATTTTTCTTTAAAGAGGCTTAGTGCCTGGGGAGGAGAAAATCATGTATTTATAGAATATGATCTTCAAACCGAAAAGATCGTCTCATCGCATAAAGCAGTTCAACTTCAGTAAACAGTCGCCTCTTTCAGCAAACACTGAATATTTTGGTTATCAAAAATAATAATTATAATTTGTTCGTTTCCTTAACTGCATCCGTTGTTCTCGCATTCATACTAAGGTACGCTATCCACTAGAAAAGCAGATTATACCTACGGGAGTGGTCACCCTCTCAACGCAAAAGGAAGTTACCAGTTTTATGTTTGTATTTTCAGTCGTAATTGATATTCCTCGGCTATATATTCATCAAGGGTGGGCGGCATGGACATTCTTTTTATAAAAACGTTTTCCACCCAGTTTGTAAACAAAGGAAGAAAGAAAACCCTCCTGCGATTGATCATCAAAACGCAAGTGATTATCTTTTCGGTACCGTTAATTCTAAATTGATACAATTTTTCCAATAGCGTGACGATTATTGAAGAACACTGATAGAATTAAATAAACAATTTCTCAATAAGGTTTTGGTAGCATTTGGTCACTTTGGAGTAGGAGTTTAAGATAACTTAAATATTGTATACCGCCGGCAATCGTTTAACAACAATATGCCTTTCATGACAAAATCTAAAACAAAAGTAAGATGATTAATTTTTAAGGCTATCATAGAAACTCTTTGTCTTTTTTTATGTGAATGTTAGGATTAAACGGAATTGTAAATTGTAGTAATTTACAATGATCTAAGTCTAAGTCTAATAGCTCGGAGATATACATACATACATACATACATACATACATACATATACTTTATTTAATCTCGAATTTGGAGTAGCTAAAGAATAAGCTAGTATCTTCGAGTTACAAGTATAATTCTAAATACTACTAAAATGTAAAATGTAAAATTGTAACATTCTAAAATTTAACTATGAGAAAGAGTCATACTGTAGAATCTTGCGCTTGAAATCAGAAAAGTCAGACGTTCTAAAAGAGTCCGGAAGAGAGTTCCATAGTTTTGAAGCCATATATGAAAAGGAGTGAAGACCATAAGTAGTAGTTTTTGTAGACGGTAGAGACAAAATATAATTTCCGCGTAGATTATAGGATACAGACCGGAAACTAAACATATTCCTTAGATAGCCTGGATAGCAGTTAAAAAACAAGCTCTTGTACAATATAATTAAGAAAGTCTGAAGGCGTCTTTTATACAGAGATTTGGAGTTAACTTTGCTAAGTAGAGAGTCATAGGGAGAATTATAATCCTGCAAGATAACTCTAAGAATTCGCTTGTTTAAAGTATCTATCTTCTCAGTACTACGCGCACCACAAAAGTGCCATACAGACGAACANCAAAGAAATTGAAGTTATTTTATAAAAGTAATAGACTGTACTCTCCACTGGCTAACTAACGTAATAACCCACTTGAAATGCTGGGAGAACACTCAATAAGTCCGTAAATCTTCGTTTGTAAATCACTCGCCACTGGCTCGTGAGTAATAAACTATTCCCGTGTTCCCCCAACATCCCGAGTGTGTCATTACGCCGCTAACCCGATAGAAAGTGTAGTCTATTGCTTGATGGTCTTATTTACCGACACTGTTTACTAATGTTCCAGTTTATACCTAAGAACAATGGCATTGGTGGAATAAAAAAAGACTTAACGGGTTCTTACTAAGCAGCTTTTAAGAAAGACAATACGGAAGCCGATCACCAAAGATACTTTACAACAATGCGCTTGCTTTAAGCTATATAGGAATTATAATCCACGAAACAATGCGATGTAAACCCTTGATCGGTACGGTGAACAAGAAAATTATTGTTCAAATCTTTTGACAGTTTCCTTCCGATAATAAACAGAAGCCGGTCGGCGTTTGAAAAACTTTAATTGAGTAAACCTAGATCTCGGTCATAATTTAGGAAAAAGGCATGAAAAAATCATATGAGTCTATCGGTCTTTCTGGTCTTGAAACAATAGAACAAGCTGATTCAGTTTCCCAGAAAATTGAACAAGAGCTCTTCAAGAATGAAAATAAACACGGATTCACGGTGAAATTATGGAAAAAATGACTGCCGAAGAAAATTTTCTTAATTGTGGGATCGGACAGTATCACATCTCGTTGCAGCTGTGATTGATAAATTTAAACCGCGACAAAACTGAATTGTTGTTTGTTTTAAGACCGAAAGTATGTTGTGTTTGATTTGCCAGAATCGAAAGTGAAGTATTTCAAAGTGTACGCTGTAGCAAGAAAACTATTCACATTTTATTTTCATCTGTTGTAAACAGAGTTTACAACAGATGAAAACAGTTTCATTCTAAGAGTTTTTTCAGAGCGAGCAGAAACTCTTAAAAGTAATTTTGACATGTCCCTGGTAACAGTGCCGGATTGTTTCAACTCAGAAATAAACAGCAAACAAAACAAAATACACGAAAATCAAGCAAGTAGTCAAGATTTGA